AAGAAGGTAGAAATGGAGGGGAAGCTATTGTGGTAGGATCATTTTCCATGTGGGGGGTTGTTTTCTCTCTTTTTCTCTCAGTCACTCTCTGGTAAGTGAACATGCCCTCTGGCAAAAATAAAATAAAATAAAATAAAATAAAAATGTTTCAGAGCATCTACTATAGCCTAAGTAGAGTTTTAGGTGCTAGGGAAGATTTACTGCTGAATGAAGCTAGCCAGGCTATGAAGGAGAGACACTGTATGTCCCGACTTAATATATACCGAGTGTCCGCACTCTATAACTGAAACTGACTGGCTAAAGGATGTTCTAACACAAGAGATGGGTGTGAATGCTAGATGTGGTGTGTGTGGAGGAGTGGGGCCTGGGGGAAAACATTTGGAGGAGGGATACGGAGACAGCATTGTTGAGACAGGGAGGTAGTATTGTTATATTTTGATAAACTGGACCGGGGAGAAATGGTCACATATTGAAATGATCACCTTGTAAGCTAAAAAATGTGATTGAATCTATTTTAAAAAAGTAAGAAAAACAAAATAAAATAAAAGAGTTTTAGGTGCTAGGAATATAGTAGCTAAGAGAACAAAATTCCTGCTCTCCTGGAGCTTCCAGGCTAGTGGAATGAGAACAAATAAATTATATATAGCCAGTAATAATGATAATAATTATTATTATGCATGTTTTGAAGAAAGGGGATTATTATTTATGACAAGATGGTCAAGGAATGTCCATCTGAAATGGTGACATCTGAATAAGAACTTGAGGGCTGTGAATGACTTAGCCACAAAAAAATATGGAATAAGAATGAGAATCTGTTAGTGGCAAATCTCCAGCTTATTTTCCTAAAATTATCTTTATTTTGCCCTTACTCTTAAATGATCACTTACTTGGCAATGAAATTCTAGCTCAACAGATATTTTTGTCGCAGTATTTTCAAAATATATTTGTTATATTTTGTTGTTTTAAGATCTCCTCTTGGAGAGGAGCCCCATAGTCTTCTGGTTAAGGGAGCTGAATACCACATAGTTTATTGGAATCTCAATCCTGGTAGCTTGAAAAACATGCTGACCACATGTGTGTGTGCCCCAAAACACAGCAGGATGGAGAAATGGAGGAGGAGGTATTGCACTGTGACCATGCCCCGTCAGGCAGTGCTTTTCTCCTTCCATCTCTCTGGACCACATGTGCCCTCTGGAAAATTTAAAAAACAAAAATAAAAAATATCTACTCTTTAATTTTTAAGTCTTCTATATGCTAACTTGTGTCTATTGAGTGTGCAACTCATTATGGTTCTTGAAGCTAAGGATGCATATATTACTACAGTTCTGGGAAGTTTCATCCACTAGATCTTTGTTCCCTCCCCCATATTCTCTATTTTCTCATATTTAAAACCATGATAGACATATTCTGAACCTTTTCCTTTTATCCTGCATGGTATTACAACTCTTACTCATGTTTTCCATCATTTATCCATATGAAATATAAACTATGCAATTCTTCCTTACACGTATTTTCCAGTTCACTAATATATCTTCACTGATATCTGATCTGCTTTATAAAACATTTTATATAAGACATTTACTGCATTTTAGTTTTCAGTGTCTATTTTTCTTTTACAAAAGGTCTGTCTTAAATAGACCTTTTTAAAATTTGCTTTTTCTTTCTCCCTTCTCCAGTCTTGTCATTTCAATTGTAGTTATTTTATAGTCCCTATTTGAGAATTCTGTTACATGGAGTCCTTGGAGGAACTCTAATTTGTTTATATGTTATATCAGCTGACTCTTGCTCATGATCATTTGTATAGGTGTTTTGTGGCTGTGGATGGTGAACTTATTTTTGGCAAGCATTTATTTGTGGTGATATCCTACCCGGATGTTTTTATGTTTGCTTTTACAAGTCAATCTAGTGGTATCCCTAGCCCGAGACCAATTTTCATGTTAATTTCTCAGTTTGTAAACTCCAGATCAGGCAGACTATACATGTGAGCACCAATCCCACATAATATTAAGCTTGATATTGCTAAATCTCAGTAGAAATGCTTCCCCCTCACCTCCTCCCCATTTCTTTTTGAAATTTTTGTGTTATGGACTGATTCTGTCTAATTTGTCATATATAGTTCACTCTTTTCCTGGAGTTGGAGCCCTTCAGGATCTTGACTTTACATAGGAGCCTAGTTCCAGTTTCTCCTTTGGCATAGTCCTCCTGGTTTACAGCTGTTGTGCTGGTAATTGATAAAACCTCCTTTCACTCTCAAAAGTGTCCTAGTTCAGACAGTATGTTATATGATATTTTAGTCCTTAAGCAGAAATATACTTAGAATGCCAGAGGAAGAAAAGCTAGACTGGCTCATTCATAGAGGGAAGTACACTTGGAGAAGAGCTCAGAGACAATGGCAAAGGCCTGCTATGTCAGGGAAGAGTTTATTCTAGATGTGATCAGAGACATTAAGAGATTTTAAAGCAAAAGGTTTTAAGTGTCTTCTCACTTCTGCCTTTTTCTTTATTTTACTTTCTTTCTTTTTATTTTTCAAGAGAGATTTTTGCTATAGAGCATGTGCACTCACTGGAGAGAAAGAGAGAAAGAGAGAGAGGGACAGAGAGACAGAACATGAGAAATCACCCCCACAGGGGGGATGGCCACACTGACATCCCTTTTCCTCCATTCTCCTCTTTGGATTTTAAGCATACAGATACATGTGCCCTGTGTGAGTTTTAAACTGCTGGATCGGGGACTCAAACCGCATTGACTACATGGGAATCCATTATGCCATCTTCGAGTCCCTCTTTCTTTTTTCTTTCTTTCTTTCTTTTTTCTTTTTTCTTTCTTTCTTTCTTTTTCTTTCTTTCTTTCTTTCTTTCTTTCATTTTTTTTTGTTATATTTATTCACTGTAAATCATTAGAGCACGCAAAATGAATCTTCACATTCATAATACACTGAATATCAGCCCAATCAAAGATATCACCATACTTATTATCTTTAACAGATAATTTTCCATTTTGTGTTTCTTAACTGTTTTCCTTTTTTCTCCTTGATTCCCTCCCTCCATCATTCTCTGTCATTTCCCACCCTTTTATTCTTTTTTTTTAAAGAGATTTTTCTATAGGGTGTGTGTGCTCGCCAGAGACACAGAGAGAGACATAGAGAAAGAAAGTGAGAAATCACTGTCCCAGGGGATGGCCATGCCACAATGTCTTCTCCTCCATTCTTTTCTCAATATTTTGGGCATGCATGCACATGTGCCCAGCATGAATTTTAAGCGACCGGGTTTGGGACTCAAACTGCAGTTGACTATGTGAGAGTCCAGCAACATATCCATTATGCCATCTGCTGGTCCCATCCTTGGTGCTTTGTGTAGTTCAGTGGTCAGTCAAGGATTTGGCTGGAGTTCAGACTCATATTTTGGGACTCACTCTCTCAGTGTTTCTTTTGCTTCCAGGAGCTCCTCATAAATTTTCAATTCGCCTTCCAGTCCCGACCCTTTCTTCTGATATACTACTCTAATAGGTTTTCATATTTCTACCCTCTGGGTTGTGATGAATGAAGGCATTCCTTCAGTCTAAATAGCAGCAAATTCACAAAATTCACCCAGCAACGTTTTTTTCATTTAGCTGAATAATAATCTATTTTTCTCTCTTTTTTTAAAAACTAACTCTTTGGTCTCCCTGATTTGTGGGTAATACTGTGATTAGTCAGGATTTGAGATGGAGTATATACCAGATTTGGCTGCCTAGTCCTTCTTGTAACTCCCTTGCTTCCAGCACACCCACTCCTAATAGTCCAGATTCTCTACTACCTTGAGCAAGTAAGACTGTTACACATGTCACAGAAATTCTAGGTTTGAAAAGACACCTTTGGGAAAGAAAAATCACAAACTCACAACTTTAATTTACTTTTGATGTCATCTTTCAAAGGTAAATTCACCTTAAGTTTCTGTTTTCAGCCATTCCACAATTGTTCAGATTTTATAATTAGTAGCTAGAGAGATAGACCTACACAATTTCTTTTGCTGTTACCAAAACATAGGACATTTGTTGTTATTCCAATTTGTGTTTAGATTAACAGCAAATTTTATTTTTCATGTTAATTAGCAATTTTTATACATTTTCTGAATTTTATGTCCATTTATTCATTTTCTATTTGTATATTTGTTTTTGTCTTTTATTTTTTGAGGGTTTTTTGTTATAGGGTGCGTGCACTCGCCAAAAAGACAGAGAGAGACAGAGAGACAGAAAGAGAGAAATCATCCCCAAGGGGGATGGCCACACCGCAATCCCTTCTCTTCCATTCTCCTCTCGGGATCTTGGGCACACACGCACATGCACCCAGCATGAGTTTAAGCCACCGGGTCCGGGACTTGAACCAAGGTCAACTACATGGGAATCCAGCAACATAGCTATTATGCCAACTGCTGGTCCCTGTTTTTATCTTATTCATCTGTAAGACTTCATTATTTCCTGAAGATAATAAGATACTAGCTTATTAGACATGATGTTATTTTGAGGCTCATATGAAATGTTTACTATTGGGTTGCTGAAAAAGTCATGATATGTTTTTTCCTTGTTTTTTTTTTATGCAAAAATGCATCATGACTTTTTCGACAACCCAATGTATATATAAGGTTTTGGTTTAATAGTAATTGTTGTATCAGCCTTTGATATTCATATGGGCTCATTGAACAGTAGAGATAAGACAAGAACTTTGAGAGAGATGGGAATGTTTTCTAGGAAAAGTCTTGTGGTCGCTGTATATGATATGTGGGACTGTGTCGGTAGTGATCTTTCTAACCAAAGCCTTGTGATATTGTCTCCACACTTATTGACCACCATGATGTTATTTCTCAATCACAGTCATTTGCCTTACTTACCAGTCATTACTGTTAATAGCCTGCTACTTCTGTGCATATAAGGGAATGTAGCAAGATAGCTAATATTTGCTAAGGACACTATGGACCTTCAGCAAAACTCTACTAAAACATTGTTCTCTCTCTTTTTGTCCCTAGGAGTATACAATTGATGTATTTTTTCGACAGACATGGCATGATGAAAGACTAAAATTTGATGGACCCATGAAGATCCTTCCATTGAACAATCTTCTGGCTAGTAAGATCTGGACCCCTGACACCTTCTTTCATAATGGAAAGAAATCAGTGGCTCATAACATGACCACACCCAACAAGCTGCTCAGATTGGTGGACAACGGGACCCTCCTCTACACAATGAGGTCAGAGGCCCCAACCCAAAGTCTATTGGGAGTAGGACTGGGAATGAAAGCAGTATGAAGAGTATACATTGAAAATTCTGTCAAGTTTATAGATTATAGAGATACACATATATTTATATTCTTTTTTTAAAAAAATAATTATTTAATTTTATTTATTTATTTATGTTAATTTGACCAGAGACACATGCAGAGAGAGAGAGGGAAAGTGAGAAAGCAAGCCACTGGGTTCAGGACCTGAACCATGGTCAGCCATGTGGGAGTGTCCAGCACCCTAACCACCACACCACCTGCTGGTCCCTATATTATATTTTTCATAACACTTTTGCATGTGTATTTACTCATAGGAACACATATTCTGGATACACATATAGAATTGCACATATGAACATTTGAGACACAAAGATATATGTTCATAATGTAGAAATGTATGCATATCTAAAATAAATATGAACTAAAAAACAGGCACAAGTTCATATTCAAGGACACTTATATACACAAACTCACAAAAACATATACACAGGAATGAGCACTATGATAGAATAGGCTAGGTGTAACTGCAGTGACAAACTGTCCCTGTGATGCACAGTTGTAAGAATCAAAGAGATAATGATTGATACTTACTTTAACATACAATATTTTATATATGTAAATGTAAACTAAAGTAACATTTATGCCACATTATTAGGGGATGCTCAGGAAACTGATGGAAGTGAAGTTATAACATAACTTAAGATTATATATTTTAAAAACACTGTTTGTGGGACCAGCAGTTGGTGTAATTGCTATGTCACTGGACTCCCATGTAGGTGACTACACTTTGAGTCCCGGACCTGGTGGTTTAAACTCATGCCAGGCACGTGTACATGCCCAAGATCCCAAGAGGAGAATGGAGGAGAAGGGATTGCAGCATGGCCATCCCCCATGGGGGGTGATTTCTTGCTTTCTGTCTCTGTCCCTCTGTCTTTCTGGCGAGCTCACACTCCCTATAGCAAAAACCTCTCCAAAAGAAAAAAAAAACACTGTGTGTGTGCATGTGTGTGTGTATTGGTATTACAAACATCATACAGTATAAAATATATTTTATAATTTTTTACCTCCCTATACATAAAAACTTTTATGTATTTAATAACTGCTTATTGTTATTAGATATTGAATTTTGGTGTCAAAAAATAACTTTGACAGCATTGCAGTACAAAATGATTCTTTGCATCAATACTACAAAACATTTTTGATTTTGCATTTATCTTTTGTGCTTTTGCTAACTTTTCTACTGCCAATTGTCACTTTCTGAAGCTTTTTTCTATATTAATACATATTGAGTTAGGGGCCGGCAGGTGGCATGGTGGTTAAGGTTGCTGGACTCCCCCATGGCTGACTGCAGTTCAAGTCCCAGACCTGGTGGCTTTCTCTCTCTCTCTCACTCTATCCCTCTCTGGTCAAATTAAAATAAATAAGTAAATAAAGTTAAAATAAAATAATTCTAAAAAATAATTAGTGCCTAAAAAAATACATGCTGATTTAACTTATTGATTCTTTATTGAATGGATAAATGAAATCTTCACTGCAGATTCTATGGCTCTTCCACATTTGAATATTTGTTAATTTTATATAATGAAACTCAAATAACACATACCTTGCAAATAAGTTATTAATAAATGAAATGGTTTGTCTATATATTAATTCTTCATTACTTCAAATTTGTTAATTATTGGTGTTTTTCCTAATAGAGTTTAGGAGACAAAAGAATGCCAAGGAAGAAAAAAATAACAAAAACTTATTTTTTTGTTGGAAGAGAAAGGAGAAGATGACAGACAAGAGCAATGATCATTAAGTAGGGAAAAAAACTATGGTGAAAAGAAGAAAAGTGAGTCAAAGTACAAAAGTAGAGTAGAGAGGAAAGAAGACTAATCACACACAGACACACACACACACACACACACACACACACATTATAATATATGTATGTGTATGTGAGATGAGCATGTGAAGTTTGAGGAAAGACAACATGATAAGGAAAAAAGTTATAAAGTTGAGATGAAGAAGATGGAGTAAAATAAAGAAGCAAGATAATAGGATATCCAAAAAAAAAAAAAATGGAGGAATTGGGGAAGAGGAGATAGCATATTAAAAGAAAGATGACAAAAACAAGTAGGAGAAGGGATGATGGAGATGAACAAGAGGGAGGGAAACTAAATGGAGGAAAGATAAGCCTTCATTTATTCATTCACCAAACATGTTTTGACTTCCAAATACATATGTGGCCCTAGACTAAATTCTGGGTATACAAATATTAAGGTATCATCTGTGTCCTTAGGACAATCACGATAAAATAGATGAGAAAAACTAATTAGATAATCTTAAATAATATAAACTGAAATGCTAAAGATATGGGTGATTATGGGAAAGTAGAGGAAGGTCATTGCACTCATATTTTGGATCAGGTTGAGCAAAAAGTTGCTGAGTGAAGCAACATCTAAGCTCCTGAATATTGGTATTAACATTAGTTTTTATATTATTAAATAAGTAGAATTATAGGTAAGGGATAGAGAGATGAGACAAAGGACATCGTAAACATAGAAAACTAAGTAAGCAATTACAAGGAACAAAATGACACATTTTAAGCAAGAGAATGAGATGGTCAGTTCTTTTAATTTATATATAGCACTGTAGTTAAGTGTGTAAAGAATGCATTCAAAGATAAAAAGACTGGAATTAGGGCAAATGGTTAGGAAACAGCTGAAATAGTCTAAATGGGAAGTGATGTTCTAATTCTGAGCAGTGTATTAAAATGGAGAAGGGAGTTATGTTTAGGAAGTAAGTAGTAAATACAGACAAAGTCAGAATGACAGGGAGGGCTTCCCAAAATAGCAGGTACATTACAGACAAAGTCAGAATGACAGGGAGGGCTTCTCAACATAGCAGGTGCATAAATAAAGTAGGTGAATGATGGTACTATAAACCAGAATCTAGTATATAAAAGTTAGCACAGATTTAAGAAAGTCTGTGAGTTAATTTTGGGTGAGATAAGCTTAAGAAGATTGTAGATTATCTAGGGAGAGAAGTCTGATAGTAGTTTGATATACTAATCTTAAAATCAGAAGAGAAATACGAGCTAGAGATATAAAACAAGGTAACACCATGGGAATGGATATGATCATTTCAGAAAAGGGTGTAGAGTGACAAGAAAATCACACCAAATGCCCAGTCATGTCTTATTACTGTCATTAAGGCAGCAGAGGTGAAAGAGGAACCAAGAAGGAAAAGTTAAGGAGGCATTCATAAAACCATTAGTGTCAGTATCTTAAATGCTAAGTGTGATAGCCAGCACTGCCATTTTTTAATAGAGCTTACCTCTTTCTGAGTACATGCTAGTATTGAATTTCTCTTGAGCCTTGAACTTACATACGAACAAGTGACTTGCTTCAGCTAACCAAATGTGAGTATAAACAACATGTATCAGTTGAGAAGGATGAGAAGCCTCTAAGAGTCAGTGCATAGTGTGCCACTTTCCCTGGCCACAGTGACCAGTATTATGCTAGTTGTTCTTGAATTCATCATATGTCCCTTACTGGGGAGGACAAAGAAGTGATACTTTACTCCCCTACCGGATACAAACAGTGTGAGTAAGAAACAGACTTTTGTTGCTTTAGGGTCTTGAGATTTTAGGATTGTTTTTTAACTGCATGTTAATATAATTCATCTTAACTGATTCATCAAAGGAGTAAAGAATTTCAAAAGGTCAATAATGACACCAATAATATCATAAGAAGTACAGTACTTAACATCAATATATTTACAATGTTCTAGGCATCATTCTAATCGTTCTATATTGATAGTCTTCATAAAAACTCTGTGAAATAGGTACTATTATCCCCACTTTATAGATGAGGAAACTGAGACACAAGTGAGCAAGAAAATTTCTTGAGTTTACGTAGAGTAGAAGTAGTAGACACAGTGAGCATAGAAAACACTTTCTGAAGCTTCTTGGAAAATGAAAGAGAGGGACATGTAATAAAAGAAATAGTTTCCTTTGTTTTCACTGGAGAGACTGGAAAACATCTGTGAGATAACAGAAAGGATCTAGTGCAAAGATAAATGTGGTAGATACAGTGGAAATAATGTTTTGCTGAAAGCACCCACTCAGAGAAAACGTAAGGGGATGGTACTGAAACTGTAGTTGGAGTTTTACTTGTAAGGAAGAAGGGTTACCTCTTCTCGTACTTCGTGAAAGGCTATTAGGTTAGATATATATGTTGGAAAGGAGGTGGGGAGGATAAGACATAAGATAGATATGAAATAATATGATGTATGAAGGAGAATTTGGAGAGAATGGAACATAGATGGAGAGACAGAGACATGTTTGCAATAAAGTGCAGAAAAGAAAAGAATATACAGAGGAGATAGGAGCACATACAATTGTGTAAAGAATGGAGTGAAGTATACATAAACAGAAAAGAGGATGTACAGAATGAGGATGAAAGGGCAGAACGATGAGGAGATACGCATGGCTGAAAGACAGTAGGCAAATCAAGAGAAGCAATAGGGCGGAGAGAGTGATAAGAAAGGAACTGAACACAGTAGTGGTTGCAAATAGTAGGGAAAAAAGAATAGAGAAGGTAGAGAATAGGATTGCATTTTGGAGGAGGGATAGAGAAGGCAAGAAAAGAGGAGAGGATAGGATTGTTGAAATATGAAAAAAAGACACAGATTGAGGAGGGCAAAGAATGAAGTAGGTCAAAGGATGAGTTTCCCTAAAAAAAGTAGAATGAATGGGAAGATGACCATTGGACATTTCATTGTAGTTTGATTGGGACGAGAATGTCAAGTTGGATGAGCTAGCATTCTGTGGAATACCCTTGTGCATATTCTCAAATACAGATACATGATGAAGCCAGTGGTCCCCCATACAGTAGATAGTTCTCCTTGGATACAAGGTATGTCTGATGCAGACCTAGGCTCAAAATTGAAAGATAAAAGCTTAAATCTCTTTATGGTACCAC